ATTATTATTGTATTTTATGCTAATAATTTTTGTAATTCTTGCACATTTACACAAATGAGAATACAGATTGCAACATAATTGTCTTTTTTTCTTTGAAAAAAAACGATTACAATCATCCCATAATTTGCAAAAAGGTGGCTATAACATCGTATAGGACATCACTTTTTGGAATTTTCTTCGGACAGTTTAGTTTATGCGGTCTTCTTTGTCTTTTGATTTGATTTGTTAAGTAGTGTTTTGTGAATGTGCTAAAAAAAATTGAAATGGTAAGTATAATCGGTTATCATATTTAATGAAACATACAAGAAAAATTAAAAAATGACGCTTACTGGTAAAACACCACCGCCAGCGATTGTAGCTCGAATCAGCGTATCTAGCTCTTCATCACCACGAATTGCTAATTGTAGATGACGTGGCGTGATACGTTTGACTTTCAGATCTTTAGACGCATTTCCTGCTAACTCGAGAACTTCTGCTGTAAGATATTCTAGAATAGCAGCTGAATAGACAGCCGCTTTCGCGCCTACACGCGCATTATTCAGAGTTCGCTTTTTCAGATAACGATGAATACGACCAACCGGGAACTGTCGTGGCAGGTAACACAAAGGAGCAAAAATAAATTGTTAGTACAAAATAAATATGCAAAACAATTCGTGGTGTCGATCAATAAAGTTACAAGAGGAAGCGATCCACAGCGAACTCGAGTCCCCATGTATTCTTATTTTTTTTTTTTCTGAAATTCGACATTTGATCATAATAAACATATGATGCAGCGAGAAAGTTTATAACTAATAAACTATTTTTTTTTTTTTTTTTTATGATAAAGTTCTAAAATATGAACGACATTGCTAACGATGTAAAAGAATAGTGTCAATATTCTTTAAAAAAAAAAGTTAACAATTATCTTACTTGTAAACCAGCTCTCTGTGACCTGGACACGACTGGAGTTCTGTCTTTCTCTTGGTGTTTAGGGTCCGCAGTGCCGTTTTCTTGTGAAGTTGGGCCTTGTTTATTACCAGTAGCCTTTTTTATTTCATGTTGGTATTTTAGTAATAGAAATAATGTTAAATGTTAATATGGTTTGATATGATATATATCCTGTTTACATTGTTAGTGAGAAAGATGCCAACGCGACCGCGGTAGTGGGATGAATACGTTATTACAAATGTAAAGTAGTTATGCTTTTAGAATAACGCGGTTTTTATTAAACTTATTTCACAAGTTTATTAATAATACCGTTGGTCAAACGAAAAAACATTGATCTCGTTATGTAATAAAACGTTAAACGCAACCCGACTTGTCCACGTGACTATAAAAAGATTTATCGAATGCAAACGGGTAAAAAGGAGTACTTACCATTTTCCAAACAAGCTTGTTAAGTGACTTAGTCAAATTAAAAGTGAATGAAAGAAGCTGATAAGTTTCTTTGGAATAAAATCGACAGGTAGTAAATATAAGAACCAACGAGTTTTCGTAAAAAATTTTGAAATTTAAGACTGGCAGAGTTGGGAAACTGGATTTGATTTTGTGCAGATCAGTTGACTAGTATTTTTATACTAAAATTTATAGTAGTGATTTTTATATGTTTTACAGAGCTCCTTAACCAAATTTGGACATTTAGCATCACTTTTTTATGCAATTTTTTTTTCAGTTTATCAGATTCTGCGAGTCAAAATCGTCTCTTGTAACAATATCTAAATTCTTCGTCTAATGATTTAGCTAATATCTGATTGAATAAATGGCAACAACATTTCACTTTGTATGACTAGTTTGATGCCAACACGCTGAAATAATTCATTAATGTCAACTGACAGTTAAAATTGGTACTTTAAATCGTATTATATAAGCAGCATTTTAATAAAAAGTGAATTATTTTTATTTTAACGTCAAAATACAAATAATACACTAAATAAATAATACCGATACAGTATCATAGGTCATATGAAATTCACGTGCATGGAAATTTCTAACTCCGTAAGTACGTAGTAGGGCCCAAATTTTTTGGGTCCCTATTTCGTAAATGTAACCGAACTGCAAAATTGATAATCTCGATTCGACTCGATAAAAAAATTTATGAGCTCTACTTTAGTCAAATTCATGTGTCTTGTAAATTATAATTTTTAACGAGATTCGTGAGCTCCGCAAGTAGAGCAAATTTTTGGAATGTCTTAGCACCCATTTCTTGTTGTCTTTTAAATGTCAATTTGAGGGTCGGAAGTTCCAAAACTTAAAAAAGTATTTTACACACAAAAAAAAAAAAAAAAATGGTAAACTGTATAGATTGAATTTTTATTATCAATTTTTTTTTTTTTTTAGATTACGAAAACAGTAGTCATTATGCATTAATATACAAGCTACTATATTATTATAAAATAAAGTCCTTGATTTTTTATTTAACACCAACTCTCAGCTCAAATATTGACCGACACCTCAAGAACACTCATACGACATTATATTTCATCTATTTGCAGATGGACTAACTATATACTATGGTATCAATTACTTTTAAATAAGTAGGTACGGGAATGTTCCATTGTTCTAATTGTCGTACCAAATAACGATAAAATTGTATGAAATACTGTATACACGTATGTTTAATCCAATTAATTATAGGTCGAGGGTTCGTAAATTGATAAAATGATTGATTTGTGAATGTTGTGGAATTAGATACGATTATTGGAGGATTGGTGATTTTCTGAAATTGTTTAATAGTTTGTTTTAATTTAGAGGATCAAACACGCACGAAATTGGAAGATCTACAAATCAGAATATGAGAATTGGTCTAGGAAAATGTCATCCCCAAATGATAGAATGATTATCAGAAAGATTAATCTTTTTAACCCCAATTATTAATATTGATTTACGAAAAATAATTTGGGGTATAAATTATGAATTAGGGCTCATAAAATAGATTTTTATGACATTATTAATCAATCCGAGAATTCCTGAATTGACATTTTCCTAGATCAGCTCTTGTATACAAACCTCTGCGTTTAGTTTACCGTGAGGTCGCATTGTGTTAGCCCTTATTCTTTGTTGATACATCAGTCTAAAGCCTTCGACAGCTTTCAAACTTTCTGCTAATCGATTAAATGTATTGAATAATGCAACAATTTCTGTTCGTGTTAATAAATTTGGGTTTACTTTCGGGCTGCATCAATTATAAGTATTAATTATAAATATTAATTACAAATGCTAAGGCATTAAGATATGTGATTATAAAAAAAATAACTCACTTGAAAAATTCATCATCATACGAAAACAGAATTTTCAATGCTGTTCCAATACCAGATATCTGTAATTTTCCCCATAATCTACATTTATCACATCCAACACAATCCATTATTTTGGAGACATTCCTGAATCGTGCTTTGAATTCTTCTTTCAACAACTATGGTAATGAGAAATGGTAAGAAATTTATTGAAAAAAACAGGTGTTCTAAGGAAAACAAACCACTTACAGACGATTGGGATGACGCAAACATTTGTTTTTCGTCAAATGTCTCTGGTATCAACTTTGCTGTATTAACAAGCTTATTGACCATATTTTTCACTTCAGAATCTTGAACTTTGTTTCCCGTACAAAATTCATATCCCTTAAGATAGTCTGACACTTTTGAAATGGCTCTCAAGAGAACAGCATGAGTAAAATATACATTTTCTAAACGTTCCTGATGAGAACCAATTCTTGAGATAAAACAATCAAGATTAGGCCCCTAAAAAAAATTATAAATAAGTTAAATATTCTCTTAGACAATATTTGCGATATAGGAATGTAAAAAAATTTAATCACCCATTGGCCAGTAGTTTGATTTAAATATTCATTGCAAATATGTACAGATATAGATGAATGAAGACCTATAAAACAATAAATTTAAACATTCGTACAAGAATAACACATAAAATTATATAAAACTCATACCGGATATTAACCGATAGTATACACGTTTTTCGAAACAGACATCACTATCGACCGCGTCAGGCTGATTTGTAATCTTATTAAATATCCCTGCTAAATTACTTTTTTTGAGAGGGGAATAAGGTTGGCTTTTACCTCCTAAGGAGTCGGTTGTTTGAGCAGTGTTAAAACAATTCTCTTCGTATATGGCTTTCCACACGCGCCCGGCGGAGGATCCAGCATAACCTGTAAATCGTTCAGGATTTTCGAGAAGATTGACAAATACACTCTCTAAAGATGATAATATATCGTTTATTTTAAATATTGAACACTAAAATAACATAATAATATACTGTACAATGTTTTTATTACCTACGTCTGCTTCATCTTCCACCACACAAAAATCTTGTTCTTTGAATTCACATTTTTTATAAGGTTGAAAAAGCTAGAATAACATGATAAGGATATTATTAATAGATAGAAAATATGACAGAGTAAAATAATATTTAAAGAGCTTACTGGTCCAGCAGGTGACGTTAGTAGAGCACCAAGAACATCGCTGCGCCACATTTCTGGGACATCAGTCTATTTTCGTAAAAATATGAATTAGATAATATTAATGCAATTCATGATTAATTAATTTGATCATACCTCATCAATAGTCTCTACCGCACATGCCTGATTTACACATTGACCATATTCTGTCCAAAATGGACATTCTTTATAAAGGTTGAGCTAAGGTAAAATGAGTTAATACTTAAGAATTTTTTTTATAATTATAATTAAAATAAAATTAAAAAATACCTTATAGTATTTGAAAAAATTGGTTTTAACTAATTCTTGTAATTGTGGAAATAATTCGTCATTTATCTTTTCTACTGTCTTATAACCACAACAAGTATCACTGATAATTCCAGACAACTGTAAGAAAATAAGTTAGGAACAATTAAGATTTCGAAATATAAAAATGTTTGGGGCTTGTGTCACCGATTTCTCAAGCACACCTCCAAACAGTTGAGGAATAAAACCAAAATACGGATCGGATCGCTCACTCACAGAGCAGTAATTTTGATCTGAAGTTTTGTCCAGCAAATTTTCCATGAACTCAGATCTAGGTGGACCTAAACCTGATTGTGACGCGGAAGTAAGTACTCGACAGGTTGAAAACAATAACAGAGGTACTATTATTATGAAAAGATTTTGAGTAAAAGATAGAATTTGTCTCATAGTTGTAAAATTATGAAAAGTAAGAAAAGACTATTGCTATGACAAAGAAACATGAAACAAAAAAGAAATTGGGTATTTTGAAATTAAGGAATGAAACTTCAATAAATAGAATTTTTTTTTAGTACAGTAGTTATACGAAACGCAAAATATGATAAAGTTATGAATAATCAATTATAATATAAAGTGATTTATGATTTTCGCCTCACGTGTGGCGCGTATCGTATGATTTACCTGTTACATGTCAAAAAAGTATTGGTTAAGAATTCACGAACTAATCCGCTTATTAATTCAATATATAAGTATATATAAGGCAAGTGTATTATCTGTTATGAGAAAGAATTACTAGCTGCTAGTACGAATTTATAGAGATTTTACGTAACTTGATTTATATATCTGATATTATAAAATTGCTCTATCAACGTGAATGTAAAGCGATCCAAATAGGTGAGGGACGACCTGTAATATGAACAAAGATAATGCTTTATATAAGATCGCATGATTATAAATGGGCTAAGTGCTGCAAAAAGGGACGAAATCGACAATTTTTTCAAAAGGTGTTTTTTTACATAAATCAATTTAAAATAATATTAGGATCATTTTTCACTTAAGACACAAAAGTAGTTGTGTTAATAAAATTTTGCAATATAGCTTCTTAAAGTTTATATTTTCTTATAATTTATTATAAGATTTACAAAATAAAAATTGATTTTATGAAGATCTTTGTTTTTGTCAATTTCGTCCCTTTTTGCAGCACCAAGCCCAAATCATCTTAAACCACCCTCATAACATAATACGTGCAAAACCCTTATTTTCAAATAACGGTAGATCTCCGGAATATATGATGACCCAATCCCCGAATTTCAATCCCAATATCCAGAATACAAATATATATAATATATTTAAGTTTCGAAAGAACGTTTTAAATTTTCTTTTTTTTTTTTGTGCACTTGTAGGGATAGATCAGTCCGTCCCGGTCAGTCCCAGTCCCTATAAGACCGATTTTATAATGTTTATTAGTCCTAAAATCGGTCTCACGACTTCTAATTTTCAATGTATAACATTAAAACTTTTATTTTAAAATTTATATTATAAAAAATACAGCACATCAAATTTATACGTATTATAAAAAATACAATACACATTAAATTTATATTTAAAAAAAATACAGCAACGTAAATATGAATACGTATTTTATATTTTAAGCTAATTTACATTAATATAAAAAATTGATCACAGGGATGTCTTTAATCATATATTTACTCTTCTTCTAATCTAGCTCTTGTATTTTTTTTTTTTTTTTTTTTGGTCGGCAATTTTATTAAGGTTCGAAACATCAACATTTATTTCATTAGAAATTGGAACTTCGACGCTTATTTTTATCACATTGAGAGATGGAAGCAAGAAATTTCTGTTATCGTTCATAGTTAGAAAGGAGTTTTATTATTATTATTATTATTATTATTATTTGCGTTGTTTTCTTTATCGGCTTTTTTATCAGTAGTATTAGTCATCGTTAGATCACAATCAGGACCAGGACCGGACGATTCCAGACCGAGGACTGAGAATTATTCGGTCCTCAGTCTTTTACCGTCCGGTCCCGGTCTTTACGACCGATCCATCCCTATGTACTTGTAATTCTTTTAAGTTTGTTCATAGCTGCTGCACTTTTTTTTACCATTCACCAATTTTCTTATTACCCATTACGTATTACAGGATCATAATGTATTTGTATACTGATAAGTAATTTTCTTTAATTGCAGTTTTGGTTAATTTTCTATAAATGCTTTAATATTAAAATTGTCTTAGGTTTCGATATTATTTTACTATAGCATAATATGTACAGTGTGTAAATAAATAAAGGGCCTTTTGAGAAGTTTTTTTTTTTTTTTACGTAGCTTATATATTAATATTTAGAATCAATATTAATATTTAGGATTAGGGTTAAAGCTAGAATGGGTTTTTTATAATGTTAAATATTTTTACTTAATGCAACAAACGTGATTATAAGCTGTTTTTTAATTTACAACTATTTTCCTGACAATTATACAACCATTTCCCCGACATGACCCAACAGTCATGTTGGGAAAATAGTTGTCATCGGGTAAACCATAAAATAGGTTACCGTAAAACACAGCATGGTGGACAAACCCGAATTTGGATGATCGACATTGTGGCTTAGCCAATTTAATAAAAAATTTTTTTTGATTTTTTATACAGTTTAAAG